GGGGGGCTCGGCCCCACCGCCCCCCTCCCTCGGGCTGGGGGGGGGTGAGCGGGGGGGGGACGCGGGGACCCCACCCAGCCCGGGGCCTCCAGGGATGCGGAGCCCCCGCAGGATGCCCCGCGGGGGGAGCACGGGCGGCCACGACCCCCACCCACCAGSGGCACCGGCAGTAGCCCCTATGGAGCACGGGTGGGGAGGGGGTCTCCCCTTTCCGCCCCTAGGCCCCAGTGTCTCCTCGCCCCCGCCAGGGCCCCCTCCTTACCCATCCCGGCCAGGCCGGTCCTTCCATGCGGCCTCCTCCATCTCCCTCCACTTCCCAGCGCCGGCTCCTCCCGGCTCCCTCTCTGCTGGGTCCAGCACCAGAGCATCCTCCCGKAGAGCATCCTCGGGTAAGCATCCTCCCGGAGAGCATCCTCCYGGAGAKCATCCTCYRGGAGAGCATCTTCCCAGAGAGCATCCTCCCGGAGAGCATCCTCCGGGTGCGCATCCTCCCGGCGCCCAGCTCCCGGCTGCCCCCGCCAGCGAGCGTCCTCCCAAGAGCATCCCCCCAGCTGCAGGCTCCGGGCTGGATCGGAGCATCCTCACCAGGAGCACCCTCCATCCCCGGTGCTGGGCTCGGGCTGGACCGGCAAGCGTGCAGCCGGCACGGGCAGCGCCGAGGCGCCGGTCGCCGCGGCCAGCGCAGCCGTGCCACGGCCATGGCAGCTGCCTCCAGCAGCGGATGCCTCCCAAACCCACCTCGCTCCGGGGCCTGTTTCTCCCCCAGCTTGCAGCGCTGCAGCCGCAAGAGGCTCTGGGGGCGGCGTTTTGTTCAGAGCTCCGCAAAACCTTCTGGGGACACCCGGGCTTGGGCCAAGTGGGTGCTGGCAGAGCATTCGTCTGAGCTCATTTGCTGCCATCTGCTCGTTTGCTGGGGGAGGTTCTGCGCGCAGGGCCGCGCCGCTCGTGCCCACGAGCTCCTGCCTTGGCTCCGCAGCCTCAGTGGTGCTGGCCGGCGTGGGGGCTTCGTGGCTTCGAGCAGGAGGAAAATGGGTGGCTTTGGAGCACGGATGCTCTGGGAGCTGCTGGCACCCRTGTCCTTGAGGACACCACGATGTACTCCTTCCATCCTAGCATCCCAGGACGGTGCTGATGGGGAAGCAGGACTTGATGTCTGGGTGCTTTCCCGGTGGTTGCTCATGGAGCCGTGAGCAGAGCTGGTCCCTGCGGTCCCCTCTGGAGTTTGTGGGTGCCCAGGGGACGTCCCAGCTCGTGCGCAGGCCCTTCCTGCCTCGTCCATGCCCAGGGCTGCGCTGTGTCCTGTTCTCCCGGCCTTAGCGTCTCCCCGGGGCCGGCATGCCAGGGCAGCGCTGATGAACAGAGAAGGGCTTTTGGGGTGGTAGGTCCCCTGGGGCTTGGCAGATTCGGGATCAACAAGGGGACCGGCTCCTTGCAGGGCCTCGGGCTGCTCAGCCTCGGTGGAGCCCTGTCTGGAAGTGCCCACGGATGTTTCTGAGCTTTGGGGGCAACAGGGAGCGACTTGTGCGTGAATGTCTGATCRCTGCCCACCAGGTGCCATTCAGTGACATTCTCCAGGATAACTTGTGCTGTGGGGCTGAAGAGGGCCGTCATCCACCTCCATCATCTCTGCACAAAGCCGTGCTCAGGGTGCAGTTGTGGTGATTTCCATCCAATAAGTGGGCTATGGAGGGAACCAGTTCCTCCATGGAGCCGGTTGTCCAAATCTCTCCAAAAACTGGGGTGAAAAGGGGTGAAACCGGAGGGGCATCATCCTATGCCCCCCAAGTCCTGCCAAAGGACCCCCCTGCCTTCCTGAATGCACCTCAGTGCAACTCAAATCAGTGCACGGGGATTGCCCTCTCCAGCGCTATAATCYTGCAGGACTGTCAGCGCTCAAATTTGCCTGAAATGCAGATTTTTTCAGCTCCCGTTTCTGAATTTCTTCCACGTTTCTCTTAGCAAGCATGAGGATGCACCAGCTCTGGGTGGCTGCTTGGAATTGCATGCAAAAAAATAAGCACGAAATCAAAGCTGGTGGCAGAACAGAGCTCTTTTCCCCCCCAGATCCAGCCTGTGGGCACCCATTTCCAGGAGAGGGCAGTTCCCGGGCTGGAGCGCCGGCCTTCCATGCCGGGAAGCAGCCATGCGGAGCCCGCGGCACCGCGTGCCGAGGAGGCTGCTGTGCCCTGAGACGCTGGCRGCGTGTGGCTGATGTCCTTAAATAGCAGTTATTGTGCTGCGGAGGGGAGGATGCGCCGCGCGGACGGAGGCCCGCGCCGCCTGGCCTCGCTTTTCCAGCCGCCTCGAGGGGAGAGAGGATCCGTGCGGAGGGAAGGGACCCCCTCCCACGTCGCTGCCTGCCTTGCTGCTTTTCCGAAGCTCTGTCTCGCCGCCTTCCTGAGTGCAAACGATTTGCCTCCGTAATTACAGATGGGTTTCGCTTCATCCGAGCAGCAGCTAACGCGCAGGGACAGAATAAACGCGCGGCCACGAGGCCGTGACGGCCTCCCGGGGCCCCGGGGGGACTTGGCCAGCAGAGCGGCTGCAGCACTGGCCCAGAGGTAAGAGCCGGCCTGGGCACGGGGTGCCAAGAGCTTGGGCACGCGCGGCAGCACAAGCGCTCGTGCCAGTGCCTCCTTGGTGCGGCGCGTCCCCGAAAGATCAGCTCCTGCCAGGGTCGGTCCTTCCCAGCTTCCGAAAACGCTGAGAGGGTTTCTGGCTTTTCGAGGACATCAGCACAGGTACTGGCACCTGGAGCTAAAGCTCTTAATCGCGCATAAAGGCGCTTGGTTGTGTCGTGCCGTTCTGCATGCAGAATGCCAGGGCCTGCGGAGGTGGTGAGGGAGGAGATGGGCTCTTTTGCAAAGTTTACAGCTTCGGTAATCCAGTTAATCTTCCCTGTAATCCAGTGCCTGGCAGCTGTGCTAAGCAGAATTCAGCTTCTTTCTAGCATCTCCCCCCAAAATGGTTGTGTAGGAAGCAGTCAGAAAAGGTCCAGAGGTTATTTTTAGCTGTGGCTGGTTATTCACATGCTGATGAGACAGGAGAGGGAGTTATTCTGGTCCCCAACTGTCCCAAATACAGGCACGTCCCTTGCCAGCGTGTGATTTCGCTGGGCAAGGTTGCGAGATCCGGCTCTGCTTCTGGAGAYGGAGCACTCCCAAGGCGCCACAGTTGCTCCGTGTCCTGCAGGCTCCCCCAGCAGGGCTGGTCCTGCTTTTCTGGTGGATCTGCAGGGAAGTGTTTCCATGGAGCTTCTCCAGCAAGCTCAAGCTGGTTTCTGGCCAGGGCTGGTGGGTGTCAGTGAAGAGGGGAGGCTGCAAGGCTGGAAAACTCCCGGGTAAATCCTGGAAGCATCTGCTGGATGCACCTTTGCTGTCCTGCAGAGCTGGTGACGCGTCTCCCATGGCACCTGAGCACTGTTGCTGGTGGCCGCATCCCCCCGYGCTACCCCCTTGGCGATGGAAAAGGCCATGGAAGCGATGCCTGAGCATGGGCATGGGGCTGGTGCCCAGGGGGACGTCTCCACATCTCCGTGTGCTCCCTGGTGCCGCGGCGAGGCATGGGGCAGCCCAGCTGCCCCGGCGTTAGGGCCACTGGAGCGGGACGGAGGGTTGCAGGGGCTCCTTGTGGGAGCAGAGAGGAGGCCAAGCTCCTGGAAGGCAGCGTGGAGTGAACGGGGACGTTGGCCCCTGCTTTGCTGCTTGGAAATCCTCGCGGAGTTAAGGAGCTGTTGAGTCCTGGAGGTTCCCCCCTGCCTGGTAACAGCTTGTCTCCTCCCTTCTTACCCCTGTGCGGGATGCRGCGGTGCAGGCAGCTCCTTGCAAGCATCGGTGGGACACAGGAGACAGAGCAGGGTCCCTAGAGCCACTGTCAGCACCCCTTGGGGAGACACCTCCCCATCCCTTCTTGGGATGGGGCTTGCCAGGCACCATGCAAAGGATCCTGGCTTAATTTATTTGATGTCTATTGAGCATTGAAGGGCCAGCAAAGCCAAAGTCACTTTGAAACTTGAGGTGAGCTGGGTGTTTCCCAGAGCCTGTCCTCCCCAAAGCATGAGAAGCCACAGGATGTCTTCTCCATCTAATCAGGTGCTGCTTATGAGCAGCCAGGTTCATAGGGCTCTGTCCCTCAGCAGCCAGGACTTTGACAGTCACCATCTGCCTCTCAGCCTGATTAAGGGACTGGAGCATCTCGCACAGGAGGAACGAGCCC